TGGAAAGAGGTATCAAGATAAATAAGTGAAGTTAAAAATTATAATTAGAACATCTTATTATCTCTAGATCTGTGTTTCATTATCTAAATAATTTTCATATATAAAAATAAGGAGATGTGGTATGATTTCCAATGAGAATTCTATCAACAAGAGACCAGATGACATGAATGTAAGCAACTAGAGGTCACTGTACTGCCTTTAACAATGAGCAAACCAAAATTGTTAAGTCAGAACCTCCTCTTTGGTCTTGTCGTAGCATGCTTGCCTCGAGTGCAGGCAGTAGTGGGTTAGAACCTTGGCCGGATCAAATCAAGGACTTGAAAATTGGTATTTACTGCTTCTTAGCTAAGCATGCTGCATTTAGGAGTAAGAGCAAAGACGAATAGGCTCGGAGTCAGAATAATGGGTACGGGGAGGATGACATGTTCCTCCGCACTGTTTCCTTGTGAACTAGCATGTTAAAAATCCAGCTCAGCATGTAGGTCTGCAACAAATCAGTGTTTATATTCATGAGGGGCCTGATGGGGGGGGGGGGGGTCTAATCACGATTCACAGAAAATAAATTTCCATGATCACGGATCAGGAAAATATAAAAAAAAAAAAATCTAGAAAAACGGATCACGATAGCGGAAATGCGCCGATCACAAAGAACAAAAATAACCCATCAGGCCCCTCATTCATATATCACATTATCATGTTCTGCATTTAATTTGCCATTGACAGCAATCCATCAATCCAACTGTATAGTGAGCTATAAAAGTCCCCAACATTACAAAGTATGAAACAATTTAAACAAAAAAATCAACGACCTGATAAAAAAGAATAAACGAAGGACAAATATGTCAGACATCAACAAACAACTTGATTTTTATCCTTTTTTTGCTTATAAAGACTGGTAGCTTAAAATTTATGTTAATGAATCATTTCAAAACAATGAAAAGAAATGTTATATGCATCATAATGTAATGCACAGTTAATTATTCTTTTGCATTAAATATTATTTCAATTTTCATTTAAGAATGTCTATTTCATTTCAGGTAACATTTATTGTGGCTGCATAAAATGATTAGTTGATATAATTGTAATGGTGAAGAATGTAATTCAGACAATTTTTGTGTATTTTTGAGAAAATGTTTATATTTTTTTACAAAAAAAAAAAAAAAAAAAAAAAAAAAAAAATAGTGTAAAGATTCTCCATTTTCAACAAGATTGGAAGTTAAAGGTTAACTTGTATTTGAAATTCAAAATTCATTTTCTTTTTTCCATTAAAACCAATGGCTATATTCTGTTATCTCTGCTCCTGTCTATTATTGTCTTGACACTTTTTGTCATGCTTATGGATACTGAACTGGTTTTTGGTATGTAGTTTTGCAATGATGAGTTTATAGTTCAGATCTTATTAATTATTTTTGTTTCACTGTGACAAGAATTAATTTTACTTTGAAAATGAAGTGAAATGGACTAATTTTTTTACAATTTTTCATAGAGAACTACTTTAGATATATTAATAATGGTCCATGTCTAGTCAAAACATTTCCAGTAGGTTAAGTATGGAGAATCTACAAAAAAAAAAAAAGAAAAAAAAAACAATGTTATTTTATTGAATGTATTGTTAGATATATATTTTTTCCAATTTTTTGTTATTTTTAGCTGAGTTTGTAACTAAGCATAAACAATTTTAAAGAATATTTTACAAGAAGCATAGTTGAAGAACACCTTGGTGAAAATAGATCGATTGATTGGTTTTTGGTGTTTAACACCACTGTCAGCATGATTGGCTATATATATTTTTGCAGCCAGTTGTTATTGATGGTGGATATGGGTGTGTTTTGAGAAAGCCACAGACCTTTGGCAAAAAAACTGGCAATCTTGGTCAATTAAGATTGATCAAATGCCCATACTATGTGTATGGTTTGAATTCACAACCTAAATGTTGACAGGCAAGTGATACAGTAGTTGAACTACTTGGACCACTCTGTCACAAAGCCCCTAGGTGAAATTTTAGTACAAAATGTACTTTATAGCTGACTGTGCGGTAGGGGCTTTGCTCATTGTTGAAGGCCGTATGGTGACCTATAGTTTGTTAATTTCTGTGTCATTTGGTCTCTTGTGGAGAGTTGTCTCATTGGCAATCATACCACATCTTCTTTTTTTATATTAATATGTTATTGAAATGTGTTGGATTTTTGTTATTAAATTATTTTCTAATTTTGTATATATTATTTTTTTGTATTTTTGGTAAATTTTGCAAGGATCTGCAGTCCTAGCAGGGTGAAATTTAGGGAAAAGGGAGGTAATTTATTATAACCCCTGTTAAACTCCACATACTTGAAATTCCCTTAGTGTTAGCTTTTTATTTTCTTGGGTATTCACATTTGTATAACTTTTTTTTAATATCAGATGTATACTAGTTAATATTGACTATTATTTAGAGCTCTGTAATTAAAAAAAAAATGTAAGCAGAGCTTTGGATAATAGATATGTAGGGTGGGAGAATAATGGGTCACTAAAATGATTTGGCGAAAATTTTCAAAAAGGTAAGCAGAGGTCTAGATAATAGATTTGTAGGGTGGGAAAATTCATGGGTCACTAGAAATGATTTGGTAAAATTTTCAAAAAAAGTGATTAGTTTAAAAGTGCATCTGATATTTTTTATATATGTGTATATAACTTTATTTCTAAAACCAAATGGACAAAAAATAAATTGACAATAAGATGAGGACAGCCAGAAGAGCAGCTCCATGGAAGATGGTTAAATGAATCTTCAACGAAGTCTGAGGCTTTACCAAGAAAATAAGCAGGCAAGTTTATTTAAACCAAACAATTTCTATACATTCTTTAGAAATATTTGAGTTTTTTTCGGGGACTCTGGCTTCCTCCACCAATAAAAACTGACCGCCACGAAATTGCACAATGGTGTTGAAAGTGGCGGTAAACAATCAATTAATTAGAAATATTTTATGAAAAAAGCATATTAAGATGAACAGCATCCTTATTTTCTGCATGCAATACACCATTGATGAATTAATTTACCAGTTTATTTTAAGATACCATGAACATGAAAACAATTTTCTATTAAAATAGCAATAGTAAATTTAACTGCAAGGGGAGACTAGTACAATTAACAGCAAGATTTTCTTATTCAATGGGAGATAACTTTTTGTTAAACATGCAAATGATTTTTGTGCAGTTGAAATTCAAATCGTAAAACTTTGACTATATTTTTCCGTCTTTTATATTAAATTTGAAAACTGGTGTTGATGTTATACTGTTGTGTAGATGTAGTAAGAAATCAGAACAATACAAAGTAAATTTTAGGTTGACAGAGAAATGGATTTTTTTTTATTTATGTGATGTGTCAATTTTTATTTCTATTTAGGTTCTTTCCGTGACATGTTTTCATGGTGTGGGAATAAGACTTTGTGGTCTAATACAGCTAATATGTAGGTAGGTACCAGTATGTTATTCCATGTTAAAAAATCACAAATGTATTATAAAAAATATTATGTGCTCTAGGCTTGAAGGTTTGGTCAGAAATCTACTCTTTTCGTTAATCAGTATTATTATATGAGTTAGATTTAAGGATCTAAATTGATTATGTAAAAGTTTGTTGGGTTGTTGGATTGCTGTCAGTGAATCTGTAAAAAAAAAAATCTTAATTATTTCATGGATCTGTTTATATCCCTAGTCAAAATCAGGGATTTTATGGAATCACTAATGATGCAGTTCGGTGATTTTACAAATTCACTAACATATATAACCCATTTCTATACAATATAGATACAGTGTACCGACAGTGATCCTTTTAAACAATTTTGAATAACTTAAGCATTTTATGTTTCAGGTTGGCATCACAGCTTGTCTGTAAGGATTGAAGCTGGGAATGGCCATTGGAGCTGACTTTTATGGTAAGAATCAATACATATATATGTATTTATGAACTATTCATCCAAGAGCATGTTAATGCCCTAGATTTTTATTATACACAGATGTTAATCTTACATTTTGATGTTTTCTTAAGTTATAATTGTATATATGATCTAGAAGGAGGTAAATAAAGAAGTAAACAATCTTGAAAAGTCCCCATATATAAAAATTAAGAGATGTGGTATGATTGTAAATGAGACGACTACCAACCAGAGACCAAATGATGTGGCTGTAAGCACCAAAGGTCACCTTACAGCTTTCAACAATGAGCAAAAACTATACTGTATAGTAAGCTATAAAAGGCCCCAACATGACAAAATGTGAAACAATTCAAACGAGAAAACCAACAGATATATGATAAAACAATAAACAAAAAACAAAAAACAAATATGTTGGACATTAACAAACAGATCTTTTTTTGCTAATGCATACTGGTAGTTTAAAATTTTTGGCAACAAATCACTTCAAAACAAAAGAAATGAATGCATCATTATTGTAATGCCCAGTTAATAATTCTTTTGCCTTGAATATTGTTTCAATTTTAAAATTTTCATATAGTTTTGATAAATATGTTCAAGAATGTGTATTTCTTTTTCAGGTAACTATTACTGTGGCTGCATAAAATGATTGTGTGTGATGTTATTGTCAACAACAGTAACGAAATGTAATTCAGACAATTTTTGTGTATGTTTAAGGAAATGTTTATGATTTTTTACAAAAAAAAAAAAAAGTGTAAAGATTCTCCATTTTCAACAGGATTGGAAGTTATAGGTTAAATTGTATTTGAAATTCAAAATTTCATTTTCTGTTTTCCATTAAAGCCTCATGGCCATATTGTGGTAGCTCTACTCGTGTCCATTATTGCCTTGACATATTTTTTGTCATTCTTATTTGAAAATGAAGTGAAATAGACCAATTTAACGGTAAGACCTTATTTGGAAATATAAATATTGGTCTATGTCTAGTCAAAAACACATCCAGTAGGTTAAGAATGGAGAATCTAAAAAAAAAAAAAAAGAAAAGAAAAGAAAAAGAAACAAATGTCATTTTACTGAAATGTATGTTTTGGGTTTCCATAATTGTTAGATATAATATCTTTTCCAACTTTTTGTTATTTTTAGCTTGAGTTTGTAACAACTTTTAAGAATATCTTTCATGACAGTTGTTTTCTATTTGTTTGATGTGTTTGAGCTTTTGATTTTGCCATTTTATAAAGGACTTTCCGTTTTGAATTTCCCTTTGAGTTCGGTATTTTTGTTATTTTACTTTTTTCAAGTAGCAAAGTTGATGAACATCTTGATGAAAATAGATTGATTTTTGGTGTTTAACACCACTTTCAGCACGATTGGGTAAATCTTGGCTGCCAGTTTTTATTGGTGGAGAAAATCAGAGTGCATGAAGAAATCCTGACAAAAAACTTGCAACCTTAATCAATTAAGATTGGAGTTGAACACATGGTGAAAATTAAAGTACTTTTAATATGTTATTGAAATATGTTTGGATTTTTTGTTATTGAATTTTTAAAAAATTTTAATGATACTATATTTTGTATTTTTGTTAAATATCAAGAAGGATGCGGAGTCCCAACAGGGTGAAATTTAGGGTAAAGGGAGGTAATACCCCTGTTTAACTCTTCATACTTGTAGGGAACATACATTTTTATTTACTTAAATATTCATATTTTTAAAAGTTTGTTTTTGTTAAATATCAGATGTTTACTAGCTAAAATTGACTATTATTTAGAGCTCTGTAAATAAAAAAAATGTAAGCAGAGGTCTAGATAATAGATTTGTAGGGTGGGAAAATTCATGGGTCACTACAAATGATTTGGTAAAATTTTCAAAAAAAGTGATTATTTGAAAGTGCATCTGATATTTTTTATATGTATAACTATATTTTCTAAAAACAAATGGACAAAAATATAGATTGACAGTAAGATAATGAGGACAGCCATCTTGGCACCCAGGAGAGCAGCTCCATGGAAGATGGTCAATTAAATCTTCAACCAATTCTGAGGCTTTAACCTGAAAATTATGTAGTAAGTTTAAATATTCCACAAAATGTATAGAAATAATATCTTGAATATATTTATAGTTAAGGCATTTAAAATATTTATTTTCTTAAGGGTTCTTTTTTATCAGTGTGATTATGTGGATATCTACATCATGTTACATTTTTTTTTTATCATAACTATAATCATTTGTATTACATGCATTTATTTGGTTTCTACATTTGGTATCACATAGATATAGGAAGATGTGGTATGAGTGCCAATGAGACATGTCCGTATTAAAGATGATAATATACAGCAGTTTTAAGAAATGAAAAAAAATAGCATGATTTCGTTAGTCTTTTTAGCCATAGTTGATCGGTAAAACAACTTTATTTTATTTTTTCATTTTTATTTAAGGTTGTTGTAATTACAAGGTTTTCATGGTGTTGGGAGTAAGACTTGGATATCTGACACTGTTAACATGTTGGTATGTATTCAAGCTTTTTTTTTTGGAATAATTTTATAGTATTTGACATCAATTTTATAAAAGTTTAAAGTATCAAAAAATTAATTATACAAGCTGATGAAATACATGTTGATTTTTTTATTGCAAATTTTAAATCAGAGCTTATGATTCAGAATACCAAATATTTTTTTCATGACATTTTTTTGTTTTCCAAGTTCTATTTTAAATTTATTACGATGATATAGAGATTTTTTTGGGAAAGATTTAGAATAATTGACCAACTTTGTTTTCCAGGTTAGCATCACAGCGTTTCCATAGGGTTATTTGCTGGGATTAGTAATTAGAGCTGTTTTAAGGTGAGAATTTATCATAAACTTACAACTTAAATTTATTTATGTTATGTGACGGTGAATACCCCTAAATATTTATATATCAATCCTATAAATAGATTTCAATATAAAATATGCCTTTTAGAAGTGAATCAGTATTCAATAATATTTATTGTCTCATTTGTCATTTGATAACACGTACCCTTTTAGCAGGTCCTGAATAAGAGATATGAAGGGAGATAATCTTACAGTTTTTTATTCAGATAAAACCAGTGCTGTCATAAAATAGATGTATGATAACTTCCTTTCATTCATTCATTGAATTTTTTTTGCATTACAAATTTTAAAAGAATGTATTCCTTCATTTTATCAACGACAAAAAATATTGGAGCAAGAGTCAATACAACAACAACCAAACAACAAAATAGAAATTAATCAGTATTTCAGATGCAGCTTCAAATTTGTTTGATATTTCAAATGATTGTTATGTATTTGGCATTGGTCATATTAGAGTCCAGAAAATTTAACTTGGTGTAATGAGGTTTTTTATATTTACAATAGCTGACCATTTTTAATACTGTGGATTCATTATTATTCATTGGATACCAATTTTGTGGATTTGTTTAAAGGTTAACCATGAATTTAAATGTTCAACGAAATACAAATTTTATATAAGCTGGTATGCAGACTTATACAAAACCATGAAATCAAATTATAATACAATATAAAAATAAGGAGATGTGGTATGATAGCTAATGAGACAACTATACACCAAAGTTCAAATAAAGTGGATGTAAGCAATTATAGGCAACCGTATGGTCTTCAACAATGAGAAAAATCCATACCGTATAGTCGGCTATAAAATAAAAAGCCCCCTACATGAAAAATATGAAACAAATCAATTGAGAAAACTAACGGCCTAATTTATAACAAAACACTGTTCCTTTTATCAATGAATATTGGAACCCACAAAGATTTATGAATCCACAGTATCATATACATACCTGCCAACTTTTCAAAATCTGCAGGGGGGATTTTAAGCACAATGCAAGATGAACTAATGCTCTTCTTATATTGTTATACATGTTTTTAATCTACTACTGTTTGTTTGAAAGAGTATTTATATGCTTAAATACCCAGTTTACTTATTCTAATGCTAGCTGTTTAATGAGGTGTTCAGTTTTTCAAAATTCAGGTTAACACCTCTCATGTGGAAAATCCTCCATAAATCCTGAAGGTTGCCAGCTAGGTCTGCTTGATATATTTTGGAGTAATCAATAAATTTACTTGCACTAATATCTGTTTATTTAATTGAAAAAATGCCACTCAAATTTGATTATACACTCAAAAATTATATTAATATGAAGAATTAATATTTAAAATTTAACTTTATTTCTTTCACAGATGAACGTGTTACTGTTGTTGCCTTGTATGGTCAAATCCTCAGACAATAATCCTGCAAACCTTCAGATGAACTGTTGCTACCGTTTTAGTAGAATCCATAGACCGCAGTCTTGGAAGCAGAAAAATGAATTGTTAACAAATTTTGTTTTTTTTTGTTGTATTGAGTTATCTAAATTGTAAATATTTTTTTCATTGTTTTTACTTGCATTCAATTATTGTATTGTGATTGATGAAAAAAAAAAGCTGTGAAATTATTGTTATTTGAGGGGTCTCAAACGTAGGCCATATGCATGGTTTCACAAAATACCTATAAGACTCATTAGTTTACATTTTTTTTAAGTTATGTACATGTAAGTCTTACAAGTGCTTTGTGAAGTTAGAAACCAATAAAGTAGGACTTTGATGGCCAAACACTACAGGGAATATAAAAAAAATCCTGTTTAACAATTTAAGTACTGAGCTTTTGCAACATGAACTTTGTTACTGCAAATACAAATGTTTGGTTGGTTGGTTGTGTTTGACTCCACTTTCTTTACATTTATACAAATTAATGGCCGTCAGTTTTATTTATTGGTTTTGATTGTTTATTATAAATGCATTATTCAGCATCTGAGGTCACTCAAGTGAAAATAATTACACAGTTTTTGCAGTTTTGTTTTATTTTTTTATTTTAATGTGATTGATTTTTATGTTTTTTCTCATCCATCATTATTTATATTTTTTCAGGACATATTCTAAGGTTTGTTTTTTGAGGATTGTACTCAATTTCATAAGAATTATTAACCCCACCCAAGATTAATCGGGAAACTGTAAAATAAGTTTTTGATGGATGGATGGATAGCTGGCTGTTTAATGTCCAGTTGCAAATTAAATGCATGTTCAGGATTAAAACATGATAATGTGATATGGATATAGACCTTGCTTAGTACAAGACCAGCATGATGAGCTGGATTTTTAATATGCTAGTTCAGTGTAACTGTCCACTGGATAGCATGTCATCCTACCAAGCATCAAATACTAGTACTGATTTTCAATTCTTTGTTTTGACCCAGCCGTGGATCAAGTCCCATGACCTTCTGCACTCAAGGCGAGCATGAAATGGGCTGTTAAAGAAGATTTGTCTGTCTGTTGTCCATCGTCATCTCTCGTCCACAGCTTATATACTGTTGGAAGGTTTTCATTAAAACTTTCAGATTATCTTCTGTAACTGATGGCAGTTTCTATTTTATTTTATTAAAATGAAATTTTGGAGTTCTAATTGAAATGAATGGACCTTCTTAATATTTTGATTAACTTGGGAAGGAAGCTTCTAAAAAGACAATTTTAACATGTGAAGAATAGGTCAGTTTGAATATTTTTTATTGTGTTTTTTATCTTTTTGTAATCTTGTTTTAAATAGTTGGATCTCATAATGACAAAATTTTCATTACATTAATAAGAATTCAGAGTAAATTCTACTTTAAGAAACTAGTATATTACCACTGTAGCTTTTAATTAAACTTTATCAGGCTTTGTTGTAACAAGATTTGTGTTTTTATCTGGTTTTATATTATTTTAGTGGTTTTATGTGATTTTATTTGTTTTTATTTTCAAATCTTGTTATATCAAACCTTAATATGATTGAGTTTGTGGGGGTAATTGTTAGATTTCGCTTATACATGCAATACAAAATATTTATTTACATTATGAGATCTGACATTTTTATGCTTTTAACTCTTAAGAAATACAATAGAACATGAATGAATTAAAATCTTGATGTTTTCCTTGATTGACAAAATTGCAAGATTTATGGATGCAAGTTCAAAATCTGTTCTAACTTAATCTATGTTCATATCAGCTGAACCATCCTATCCTTCGATGTGAGTAATAAAATGTAAGAAATGTTAAAATCCATTCTTCAGTTGGAGAACCTTAAGAAATTTAAAAAATAGTACACAATGTCAACAGATACTGAAGATTATTTGAAAGTTTAGGAAAAGTCCATTTAATCTTTTAATTGTGGGTTAGATTTGCAGATGGATAAGCAAACAGATGATACACTTTCTCACCACAGCAGTTTTCCTAACGGATAAATAATAAAATAATAACTGTATACTAGTTATCTCCCTTCCTAAGAAAATAGTACTGGTCCTTGAAAAAAAAAACTTTGCATAGAAAAGAAACCTTATATTATAAAACAGCTTGGGGTTAAAAATGAGGAGTTAAATGCAGTTTACTATGTCCTTGGTGATCTAATAATTCTTGCACGTCAAGATATTTAGTTTATTTTAATTACCCAGTAAATAAGTTGAGTACACCTCAAAAATGAATTTGATTCATGTATTTTTCAACTTTTTTTATTGTAGTTTTTACCATAGTTTTCCTTATGTATAAGAGTTATAATGTTTTTGAATGCCTTTTTTAAAAGTTGAGACAAACTGATGATTCTTACTTTGATAGGAACTAATGATAACGAAATTTGGTAAATGTATATATCTCAAAACCAGTCCTTTTCCAGTCTGAGAACTGGTATCCATGAAATAAGAAAGAATCCTCAGTAATGTCAGATATTTTGTATAATTGTAATGTCTTCCTAATGATACCTAACTAATAATGCAGATCATTTTCCTACTTTTAATTGTAAAGTCGATATTCAACCGTGACCAAAATCTTATTACTATTTATTATATCTGTTTCTTTGATGTTTAAACACACCTGATGAAGTGGAATGTGTATTTTTGGGTATTGTGTATCATGATGCATGACAATAATATAATTAATTGATAAATAAAATTTATTGAAGAAAACCCATGTTACATATTTTATGCGAGTCTGAATTACAAATGAAGGGCGAAGAGGTTTCTGTGATCTAGCATATGAGGCAGATGATTTATATTTCCATTACTTGGTATCCATCATATCGATCTTTAAATTTATAGAAATATTCATGAAACTTCTTTGCTGGTTTGAATAAGACTTTGTCAGAATTGTTCATTGAATTTGATGACAACCTGATTAGCTGCCAATGCTTTAATGATCTAACTTATTGTCTTGCCAATTATCACATACAAAACATAGGGATACTTATCTGGTGTTGAAGTAGTCTGTATAAAACTTCATTATCCAGACAGACGCTAGAAGAGCTGAATACCTAATACAATCTTGCATGCAGACATACCATATGGTCTGAGGTTTTCATCTGTCTTGATCCCATTTTTGAGATTCAATGACCACTTAAAAAAATGTATAGTTTCTTTATAACATGAATTTGACTGCTTTTATGTGTAATAAGGACAATATATTTGGTATATAAATAATGGCAAGGCATGTATGTCCTTCGGAAAAGGATCACCTGACAGTGGCCCCATGTCATGGTTCAGTTTTTGTCTAGCCTTGACGGAGTCAAAAAGCGAGACATAGGTATGCTGTTTGCGACAGCGTCAACAATGTATTAGTTTGTGATTAGGTCTAGTTTATGGTGAACCACTAATGGTTGGTCAATGATATTTGGTATGCAATTGTATTGGCATTGACACATCTCATTTTAATGAAGATTATTTGGCCCCGCCCCCTCAGTAATGGTCTATTGACTTTGAAACTTTTGCTTAGTTTACATGTATTAGTTTGTGATTAGGTCAGTTTATGGGAACCACTAGTTATTGATCAATGATATTTGGTGTACAGTTGTATAAGCATTGGCATATTTCATTTCCATAGATTATTTGGCCCCGCCCCCTCAGTCATGGTCTATCGACTTTGAAACTTTTCCTTAGTTTACATGTATTAGTATGTGATTAGGTCCCTTTAAGGGGAACCAAAATGGCATTAGTGGAAGGTCAATGATAATTGGTATGCAGTTATATAAGCATTAGCACATCTCATTTCCATGGAGAATATAAGTTGGTCGTTTCCCCTCAGTCATGATTTATTTTCTTTGAAACTTTTGCTTAGTTTACATGTAATTAGATCATTTTAAGATGAACCACTAATGTTAGGTCGTTGATAGTTGGTATGCAAATGTATTGGCATTTGCAAGTCTCATTTCCATGGAGATGATATAGCCCAACCCCCTTATCGAGGTTCATTGGCTTTGAAACATTTTAACATAGTTTACAAGTTAATGTTTGTGTAAAGGTTTGTTTAAAGTGAACGACTTATGATAAGTCAATGGTATTTGGTTAATTGCAGTTTTTATTAGCATTAGCTCATTTCTGTGAAGATTGCTTAGCTCTGTCCTTTCAGTAATGGTTCATTGACTTTGAATATTTGCATAACTTGCTTGCATGTTAGAGTATTGCTATTTTAATTTCTACATTTGCATTATCAAAAAAACAAAACGGCGAGACATATTACTGTCTTAACAGTTTACATGGATTCGGTATTAGTAATTTTTTCCAACACTTTAATTAATCATCAATATATTCAATAATAGAATGATTGTAAGGTGTACATGTCTCTCTAAAAGGGTTCATCTGACCTTGACCTAATTTTCATGTTTTTTTGTCAACATTTAGTTTTCAGAATTCGGTCTGTCCTCAGTCTCTTTCTCAGGTATTATAAGTCAATACACACGTAGGTCAACTATGTTTGGAGTACAGAATAAATAAAAGGTGAACATGATTGTCTGGTGAGGTGTCTGACCTTGACCTTATTTGGTTTGGTCAACATTAAGATTTCATGATTTGGTCTAAGCTATAGTGAGTGTATGGCATGATTGTAAGATGTATGTTTCCATCTGACAGGGAAAATCTGAAATTGACCTTATTTTAATGGATCATTGATAATGAAAATTTTCTGTTATATTATTGGTCTTAAAGACTTTCGACATAGAATTCAATTATCATTGGTTATACAGGCAGGATAATTCAATGTCCCGACGGTGCATTTCATAAAGGAAATTGGGACAAATTTTTGATCACATAGAAATCTTCATTGAACACATATTAAACTTTCGGCAAATGACGGCTGGAATATGATCTATGCGTGGCTGTAAAACCAAAAAATGTACCAGTTTGTCTCCCTTGCAATTCAAATTGTATTATTCTTAAAGGATCCTCAGATATTTTTGTCGATCTGCAACATTTTGTAGTTGAAGCTGAAATATCATCAACAGTTAGGTTCAGTCTAAACAGGAACAAATATTGGCTGAGGT